TCCAGCCCCGATGTTGCTATACTTTTTTGATCAAGGACAGATTTTAGCTAGATCAATGATTTTTTTTAGATATTTTCTATCTAAACAACAACTGAATTGGAAAGTATTAACAAATATGGTTTAAACTTGTTGGTATGCATCGAAATAATTAAGAACTTAATAGAATGTCATTTTTGGGGGGTTTTGTTTTGTTTTGGGGGGTAACAGCAGTGCTCAGAACTTACTCCTGGCTCTACTTTCAGGGCTCATTCCTGGTAGACTCAGGGAACATTATGTAGGGTTGGGGATTGAACACTGGTTAGCCGCATGCAAGTCAAGTGCCCTACCCTTTGTCACTTTCTCTGTAGTTTCCTTATATCTAGAAAGGCCAAAACTAGCTCAACTCCATAGGGTATGGGGCATAATAAAATGCATCTTTCTCGAAACCCAATTCATAGCAGTGAGCTCAAGCATAAATTCCTTTCAGGCACAATGTTGTTTCAGAAGCTCCACTTAATGTGAATTCTGTGTGTTGAGGGATGAACCATGGAACCTGGTGGTCTGAGATGTGGCTCATTATCCCCACTACATTCAACATACTGTACGTTGCTAAATTTATGTAGAATTCCTGGAAACACTGGGCCATAACTGGAATGAAAGAAGAAGAAAATCCTGATGTATAGTCTGGAAGATTATTCTTAACAATGTCAACTAACTCATTTATGGTAAGCTCTGCCTATTTCCCTTCTTACCCTTTATCACAAGATATGCTGGCTGAAAATTGTCATTGCAGGGCAAGACAATTAAGAATTTAATTGTCTTTAATTAAGAATTATAACAAAAAAGAGTAATTTAAGGGCAAAAACTTGCAAGTGTCTTAACACGCTTTTCCCTTTGAGCTTAACTAAATTAAACTCTCTGTCACTGTCACTCGATTTGCTCGAGCAGGCCCAGTAACTTTGTGAGACTTGTTACTGTGTTTGGCATATCGAATACGTCATTAGTAGCTTGGCAGGCTTTGCTGTATGGGCAAGATACTCCGATTCCTCTGCCCGGGCTCTCCAAGAGGGGTGGAGGAATCGAACTCGGGTTGACCATGTTGGCCGTGTGCGAGGCAAACGAAAAACCTTTCAAAATAAACTCATTTTATTATATTTTTAGAATAAATTCTGAGAAGGCCCTACCCACTATACTGTCTTTCTAGCCCCTTCTAAGGTGTTTTAGGAGTGATGAAAGAGAGGAGTTAGTAGCATGTCATTGGTAGTGCCAGAGACTCCATACAGAGCCAAGTCACCCAAGGCCCATTCAATCGTTTGAGTTATGGAATCTTCATCTTAGAAAAATCATTTGAGTTATGGAGTCTTCATCTTAGGGAAATGAAGGGGGACACATGGCTTTTTCCCCACCCCAATTCCAAGGCAAAGCAATCCAACAAACTTTTTCCTCACTCAGCCTCTCAACACACATTAAGAAATGCCTGCATCTGAACCGCAGATGTGCACCCGAGACAATGTTGTCATAATTAAATTACAGGAAAATCAGTTTGTTTTAGTTATTAATAGAAAGAGCATTTTAATATTCATGATCATGACACAAAATGAATCCACAAATAATGAAAACAAATGTACTTGAATGATTAGCTTGGGGTTTGCTATCAAATACTCAGATGCTCAACTTTAGCATACACTCAGCTGCTGTTTGCTTCCCTCTGGGATTACACATGGTGCTTCCTTCCAGGTCCCCCAGTATCACAGGTTCCTTTGCCAAGGTCCTGGGCTGGTAGCCTGGGTTTATTAAGAGGCCCTGGATGGATGAAGAGGCATCTTAGCCAAGCAGGGATAGCAGCAGGGGATTGAGTATCCTTCTAAACTGCCCACAACCAAAGCAATCTCTGACAGATTAAGGCCATTGGTCACTAGAATCTGTTATACACGTTTGCTCCAGTTGCAATAAGACTCACTGCAGTTTTGTTATCAAGCTGCTGGGATGTTCTTTTAATAGTAAGCTGAAGTGTCCATTCCTGGGATTGAAAATCCTGGGTCAAAACATTTATTCTGGGATGTGGGTAGGTAATTTTTTTTATTTTTGCCTGACCACCTTTTCATCCTCCAGCTCCTGCAGATTTCTGGTACACTTTATTTCTCCTGTAATTCTTCTCAGGATTATCAAGTGTATATACAAAGGAAAATTCTTTAGGTGGAAAGAAGTATTCTAGCCATTTCCAGGGATTATCAGCTCCCTGCCCTGCCCTTTAAATTGTGGCCCTCTTCAGAAAATTCTCCTTCAAATACATATTCCTTGAAGCAGAAAGAGTTGTAAAGCAGGGCAATCAGGCCACACGTAGCCCACCTCGGCCACATGGTCTTAACTCACTCCATATGATATGGAGCCTGGAGGAGAGAGATGAAGGGACTCCTCTTGGCTTCTCCACTCATTCACTGCAGCAACCCAACACCCTCTCTCCAGTGTTCATTTTTAGTCTCTTGCTCTAGCACAGACCCTGTTCCCCTGACTGCAGAGGGAGGAAAGGCCAGAAGACAAGCCCCCTCCCTGAGCTTCCCTGCCCCCCTCCACAGGCTCCACTGAGCTGCTTCAGACTGGTCGGGTCAACCAGAATTCCCTTAGAGAAGATTGTCCAGCTTCTCATGCAGATAGGCCCTTCAGGTAGTCTACTAGACAAGATGGCTTCCAAATAGGCCTGGCTCCACCTGGAGGTCACCATGGCTCATGGACAGAAACAGATTCCTGGTCACTGTCTATTAGACACCCACTATGTGCTAGGCATTGGGGCTTCCAGGAGGATAGACCTCCGTCTCTGAGCTGCAGTGGGACTCAGAGGATAGTGACTTGAGCTCTGGCCCACTAGTGCATCTACTGCATCTGGTGCACCTCCAGGTAAAAGTCATGGCAGAGAATCAAAAAGTTTCACCCAGATTTTCGGCCCACCTCCCTCTGAACATTCCTCAGGTCACCCATCTATACAGCTTCTATTTGTTGCTTCCCATGCTCTACTCTGATTTTGGTCTGGAGTCATTCTTCAGTTCACACTTCTTCCTAGAAGCAGAGAGGAGAGGGCTCTAGGAAGAAGAGTAAGACTGAAAAAGGGATAGAAGATTTGGTATAACCTACATAAAACCTTAAAATTTTTACAATTTCAGGGGCCGGAGCGTGAGTACAGCGGGTAGGGAGTTTGCCTTGCATGTGGCTGATCCTGGGTTCGATTCCCAGCATCCTGTATGGTCCCCCAAGCACCGCCAGGAGTAATCCCTGAGCATTCCTGGGTGTGACCCAAAAAGAAAAAAAAGTTTTACAATTCCAGCTGGAAAAATAGTACAGGAGTGAAGGCATTTGCCTTGCATGCTGCTGGCCTGGTTTGATCCCAGGTCTCCTGAGTTCCAATAACCACTGGGTGTGACCACACACACACACACACATGCACACACACCCCACATTTGCACATTCTTATATTTGTCTTACATAAGTACAAACTACCATTAAGTTAAAGCCATGGAAATAGCTTTGCATGTGATTTATAAGTATTACCCTAATTGTGATCTTAGATACTCATTAGCACTGTAGCACTGTCCTCCCTTTGTTCATCAATTTGCTCGAGTGGGCACCAGTAACATCTCCACTGTGAGACTTGTTGTTACTGTTTTTGGCGTATCTAATATGCCATGGGAAGCTTGTCAGGCTCTGCCATGCGGGTGGGTTACTTTTAGTAGCTTGCCATGTTCTCCGAGAGGAAAGGAGGAATTGAACCCAGGTCAGCCACATGCAAGGCAAACGCCCTCCTCGCGGTGCTATCGCTACAGCCCTAGATACTCACTAGGAAAGAAAAAATATCTAAAAGCCATTAGTTTACTTTCAGAGAACTAAGTTTCCCAGTCATGCTCATACCAACCAGTAAGTGAAATGTGAAATTTCTTTCTTTCTTTGAACTACATGGGGTAGGGGTGAGGAGGTAGCAGGGGTGCTTAGTAGTTACTCCTCGCTCTGGGCTGGAGAGACCACAGGTGGTAGCTGGGATTAGAACAGGGTTTCCTGCATGCAAGGTAAGTGTCTTAACCCCTGTATAATCTTTCAGGTCTGACTTTTTTTTTTTTAAATACTTGATTTGAGAGTCACACTTCTGGTGCTCAGGAACTATTCCAGGCTCAGTGCTAGAGAACTATGCCATTCCAGGGATCCACGCAGACACCCTGCATATAACACCAGACTACAGCTCATTGGGCTATCTCTCCTAGCCCCTGCAAGTTTTTGTGGGAAAAGTGAGATGAGAGACCTCGAATAAAGACATATTAACTGCACCGTGAGTGCGGACATACCCATACTGACGGTGACAAAGCATGGGATTGGTTTTGAAGACAGACTTTTGAAACATTTTATCCTAAGAAATTGGATATGTAAGTCATTGAAAATACCCAACAAAGCCAAATAATCTATCGGTGGGGGCGGGGAGGGGTCCAACCAGCGAAAATCCAGCATTTCACCATTGTACACACACCCCTTCCCTTACTGTGCAGGGGTTGATTAAAAAAAGAAAAAAAGAGAAAAAAGAAAAAGAAAAATGCTAGTTTAACTTAAAACCACATATCTCCCACTCCTCTTGTTTTGAACCTCCAGACCCCAAACAACAACGGAGAAAAGGAGAACAGGGAAAAGGGAAAAAGCACCAGGTGAGCTGGACCAAGATCGCGGTTCCTCCTCTGCTCAGGCTTGTGCTTTCTTGGGTTTGTTCCTTGGTTCAAAACCCCACTCTGGGCGCTGCAGAGCGTGACGTTCATTCCACTTTCCAGAGTTGTGTTCCAGGTTTTCAAACTTTGCTACGGCATTTTATGCAAAAGAACACGCAAACCGCCAGCATTCTGAAAATCCTGTCTGTTGGCCGCCCCTCCCCTGGGCGCAAACTAGGGAGGCCGGCGCTGCTCACGGTTTCTCCGTGCGGAGCCGGTGGAGGGGGTGGGGAGTGGGGGGGGAGGAGGCCCGAGACGGGCGCGCGGGAGGCGGTCCCGGGGCGGGGCCGGGGCGGGGCCGGGCCGCCCGATTCCACCGGCTCCGGGGCCCGACCTCAGCCTCTCCCGGCCCCGGGCCGCCGCCGCCGCATCTCCAACAGGGGCCCCCCGACTCGCCGCTGGATCAGTCCGGCGCCGAGTCGCGGAGCCCCGCAGGACACCCCCGTGGGGTCTCCGAGCGGCCTCCCTCGTCCCCAAACTAGCACGCAACTTTCCCTTCTTCCCGGGGCTGCGGCTGCGGCCGCTCCCGGACCCCCCCACCCCCCACCCCCCCGGTCACGCTCCCTGCGCCGGTTCGCGCTGCGGTGCCCGCCGGGTTCCCCCGAGCGCCGCGCGACGCGGTGCGGCGCGCGAGATGCCCCTGGGACACAGCATGAGGCTGGATCTGGAAAAAATCGCCCTGGAGTATATCGTGCCGTGTCTGCACGCGGTCGGTTTTTGCTACCTGGATAACTTCCTGGGCGAGGTAGTGGGCGACTGTGTCCTGGAGCGCGTCAAGCAGCTGCACGGCGACGGGGTCCTGCGCGACGGGCAGCTGGCGGGGCCGCGCGCCGGCGTCTCCAAGCGGCACCTGCGGGGTGACCAGATCGCGTGGATCGGGGGCAACGAGGAAGGCTGCGAGGCCATCAGCTTCCTGCTGTCCCTTCTCGACAGGCTGGTCCTGTGCTGCGGGAGCCGGCTGGGCAAGTACTACGTCAAGGAGAGGTCCAAGGTAGGACGCGCGCGCGGGCACGGGTGTCGCAGTCCGTGGTGTCGCCCTGGCACGGCTGCCGGCGAACTTTAGTTTTTCACGTAGCCAGAACTAGTTTGGTGTACAGGCTCCTCTACCCCCAACCTGGGCCAGGGGCCTATAATAGAAAGACATGCTAATCTGCATGTCCTGCCTAGACGTGAGGGTCAGGGGGTGAAGTCCCCACGAGCCGGGATTAGGGTTTGATTTTTAGACAGAGAGACGGGAAAGGTCTCACGCAAGTGATGAGAGACTCTGGCTGGGTGGCATAGTGCGAGAATGCGTCAATTTAAATGTCCACAAGCCCCCGTACTGTCCTTCTGAATTGTGCTCAGAAGCGGGTTCCTGCAGAATCACTTCTAGTACATAATGCAGGCAGTTGGGGTTTTTCAATGTGGCCGTTGGCTTGTGGGGCTGGGCAGGTGTGGGGAGAGTCTGCCTTGTGGAAGGGTAGATCTCCCGTCTCCAAGTTGCATCCAGGACACGATTAGACCCACTATTGACCAAGAAAGTTTTCTTGTGGTTCTGAGCCCGACCTGACATTTCCTACCTAATAGATTAGAGGGGAAAGCCACCCCAAACAGCTGGGTAAGTGATCAGGAGAGGGTATCATGTTTCTCTGACCAGAAACCATGTTTTTGTTCACATGGCCAAAAGTTGACTCCCTGGGTGGTGATTTGTCTTGGAATCATTCACAGGTAGGTGGGCAGAAACATGGATGTATGACATGGTGCTGCGGAATTGTCCAGTCGTTCAGTCTTTATATCAGTGGTAATCCTGCCAGTTTCCCTCCGCAGTCCTGGATGACTTGCATTTCTTTTCTTGTGGCCTGGTCAAGGGGCAATGCAGAGTGGTAGAAAACTGTTCAACACAATTGAGGCCAAGCAAAAAAGCTTGAGAAGCAAGGTGAACATTGACCTATGTACCTTTTAAAAACAATATATGTAGCATTTCTCAAGTGAAGATTTGATTCTGTGATAAAAGCCTACAATAGTTGTCTGAGGTTGACACTTAATAAAGGGCAAGAGATGAAGACTGGAAACGTGAGGAAACAAAGGGGTTGAGGCAGGTGAACAGATAAGGGGAAAGTAGATGATGCTGTATATACTTCTGAAGCCAGGAGGTCCTGGTTAGAATCTTTGAAAGCTTCGTTATTAGTCAAACCCAAATAAATCACTTAGGAGACACGAAGTCTTAGAAGAAAAGCTTTCCTTCTAAATTTTATTTTAATTGGAAGGAAATCAGAATGAACTGAACTCTTTCGACTGAACTCCTAGTAGTGTTCCTTGACTGTTCCTTCACTTTAGTGGGGGACTAGAAAGCCTTTTGTCCTGATTAGTTTTGTTTTTGCGTTAGATAACCCTGCCTACAGGAGTGGAGGCTGGGGTGGGGTGGGGGACTCATTTCTGTAAGTAAAGGTGCTTCTGCCTAGACAGTAGATAGTTTCATACCAGCTTTGAAAGTATCTCTTAAACTCAGGTGTGAGCAGCTTCCAACCCCAGCTTTGTAGACTCACAGTTTGCTGGAGGGAGGTCAGAATTATGTGGTAGAAAGCTGTCAGGAACATATTAGAAAGTTAAGTATTTTTTATGTACATTTTATCTAATGGATAGTGATGCATAGAGTCTGCGGCTAAATTAAATTCACTTTTGAGATGAAATGAAGAGTCCTGTGTATATCTAGATGGGGGAAAAAGATCTCCATATATGACTTCAGTTATGGGCTTTGGGGGTAGAACAAATAAGTTTTGAATCAGCCCTCTCAGGAGCTAAATTCTTAATTGAAAGGAGAAAATTCACCTTTTGTTCGTTGAAGAAATGTTGGTCTGTACCCAGATTTTGAGGTCACCTCTCTCTGTTTTACCTCGGAGCTCTTCATTCTTTCATTCCTGAAAGAAAATCATCTCTATGTTAGGATATTCTGACTAACTAGAACTAAATGAAAAACATGCTTAAGCAAACAATTAGTGGGGTCAAAAAAATTTTTGCTTGACTTGCTTGTATAAAGAAGCTTCCCTAGTAATGTCCGATGGCTTTGGGTCTCTTGTTTGAAGATCACTAGTATCACTTAAAATTAAACCTTCCTTTTCTTACTTTTCTTTCCCTAGAGAGTCTTCCTTTGGGGGCTGCTTCCCAGAGTAGTGATAGAGACCTCAGTTTCCTACTGTATCGATCCTTAAAGCAGGTTTTTTTTTTTCAGCAAAAACAAAATCTTTGAAAGGCAGAATTCATACATTCATTTAAAAACTTTTATTTGTACTTTTTATTCTGAAATATTTCAAATGTAAATGTGGAAAGGCTAATCATAATGAACACCTTTCATCCATTTTCAACCATTGTGTTTTCAGGCACTTCAAATTTGGAGGGATTACGATTATTATTGCGTTGATCCTAATTTAATACTTCTCTCCCCCTGCCCCTTACTCCCCCTTCCCCAGACTTGTGGAAGAGTATGTAAGGAACTAGGTTTCTCCTTCTTGCCAAAAAATTGTTGCTGGTCAGAAATTGTTTACAAGGTGCCTAAACCCCTTTGGGGGAAGTGGTTTTCCATACTGTACTACAGCAGTATGGCGCCCCCTAACTTTAAGCATGATCATTGCTTTCAAGCTATCAAAAGATTTATTTGCTACTCCCTTTTGGAGAATTTAGATCATATCCAAGATAAATATTGGTCATAATTTGCTCCTTTTGCTTTGGCTGCCTAGACACTGAAAATGGCTGTTTTCCAGAGAACGTGTAATTTATGGAACCAAAAGTCCTTCTGTAAAGCATCTCACTCTCGACTCACTAGGAAGTAGCTCTAATCATAATAGCGACCTTTTATTGAGCAGTTTGCTCTGTCTAGCACTGTGCTAAAAACTTATAAACACTTTTTAAACTTTATTCTTTATAATAATAGCATCAAAAATTGACCAGATTATTTACCAAGGTCACAGAATCATTGGTAAGCAGTCGCTTTTCACAGAAGTTAGGGTTTAACTGAGGGATTACTATGACACCTTAGATCAAAGTTGTTTAGTTTTTACCAAGTGTAAAATGAGGGGAAATAGTTAAAACTTTTTGGGGAGTGGGGTATTAACAAAAGAATTAAAGTACATGGGGGTATTCACAAATCCAGAACCTCTGTTAGAAGGGTGTCAGAGAGATTTTTGTTCTAATCCAAATCTCATTCAAGAGTATATATTTTTTAACTTTTATGATCTATTCCTTCATCTTCTAATTTTTACAGTTAGTATTGTGTGGGGTGCTATGTAGGGGTTGGGGATACCAAGGCTCACAGGCCTGCCGCATACACTTCGCATTTGTACCTGCTTTTGAATTGTAGTATCTCCTAGTTCACACTTGATTAACTATCTGGCTTGAAAAAAGACAAAACCGCTGACTGGGAGATAGCACAGAGGGATAGTATACATGTTACGCATTCCAGAAGTCCAGACTCCATCCCTATCATTGCATGGTGCCCCCCAGTACTGCTTGATGTATCCCCCAAACAAAAAAACTACAAAGCTTAAATATTGAAGTGGGTCAGATTAGTACCTAGAAAGAAGAAAAACTGGAACACTGTGCTAATGTTTTCTTAACTCTTGTGTGCAGGGAAAGTATTTGTTAGTTAATTTAGTGGTTGAACTCCCTGACTTTTACATGATGGTGTTATGGGGTAAACTGATAGTTCAATTCTTTCCTGAAAACCAGACAGAGAAATGATGAGTGAGCAGTAACTTAGGCATCAAAGAAACTGTTGCAAAGTGATGGATTTGTTCCTCCTATTCAGCAATAACAGTTTTGGCCCACCCTTCTTGTGTGATGTCAGGAATATATATTGCTCAGTGGAGCTTATCATGGTTGCAAGATACTTTAATCAAAGTAGGATCATGTATTTCAAAGATCAGGATCTCTCTCAAGTCCCAAGTGCAGGAAATGTAATCACAGTTCACCGAGGACTGAAGCCAGAAATTGGATCCAGACAGTCCTAAGCATCTTGGTCAGCTGATCTGTTCATTCTTTTCTCAGTAGTTTTATGGCTCCTGTCTTTGCTTCTCTGCATGTACACTTTCATTCTCATCTCTTCCTTTCTGTCCAGCAGTTATTGCTTTTGCAACATACATGGGTGAAGATGAGAACCCCACATAGCTGCCACAGCCTCAGTTCCAGATCAACAAACCCTTGACTATAATTCCTTGGACTCTGTATTTTCATTCTCTGGGAGGATGTCTAATGGTCTCACCTTGGCTCAAAAAGGCCTGTCAACTTGGTGAGGGGTGGTACTCAGGCATGTGGATTCAGGCATATCTTACAAATACTCTTGCCTGGTCCCAGAAGACCTCTTCTTGAAGAAAGGTCTGTGTGAGGTCTAGATACCCTAAATGGCATTTCCTCAACTGAAATTTTTGTTTTGTTTTGTTTTTGTTTTTATTTTTTTGCTTTTTGGGTCACACCCTGCATTGCATAGGGGTTAGTCCTAGCTCATGCACTCAGGAATTACTCCTGGCGCTGCTCAGAGGACCATATGGGATGTTGGGAATCGAACCAAGGTCGGCCGTGTGCATGGCAAATGCCCTACCCGTTGTGCTATTGCTCCAGCCCCTCAACTGAAATCTTAAACATTTCTAAGTGAGGTGTATTTTTTAGGGAGAGGAGAAGCTGAGTTTGATATACCGGAATATATTTTTGTAAGACTATGGAGGGTTCATACAAATGGTTTGGCATTAAAAAATAAGTTCTTAGAGGAACAAAATTAATCCAAGAAAATAATACACATGATGTAGTCACAGAGCCTCTATCTGGCGAAGGTCTTTAGTGATACTGGTTTTCAGAGTTGGATACGAGAAACTGCTTCTGCTCAGTCATAGAGCTATTCAGCAGTTGTTTTACATTTCGGTCCTGATCCACATCTCCGGCAGGATGTGGGCAGGGTAGGGGGTGATGTAGGGGGGTGTTCTGTAAAGTTGGTGTAGCGGGGAGGGACTCTGCAGCCAGGGTGTG